CCCCAGCACCCTCATGAGTTGGCTCATAACTTTAGCTCCAGGGGATCTAACACCTTCTTCTGGCCTGTCATTTTCACATATTCACCTGTAGAAACACACATACATACACATAACTGATGATAGTAAAGATGGAGAACAAAGATACTCAAACACTGGCCCAAGCTGCACTGGCCTGGGTTGGCCAAAAGAAAGACACCCAGTCACCTGCTGTGAGCACTACTCTGATGGACAAATGTATGGTGGAGTGCTGGGAAAGATGGAAAATGTGGTGGCAAAATGGAGAAGAACATGAAGCCAAAGGGGTTTGTTAGTGGAGAAAGGTGGAACTCAATGTCATTGAGGAACAAGTAGATATAAGGAGGCCATGGTGAGATTTTGTTCCAGGCCACTGCTGAAGGCCTTGTCTGGGTCAGTGGTCCTGCTGTAGCTGGGGTCTGTGTCCATGTCTGTGGTTTGGACTGCCATCAGACACCATGTGGATATCTGAGGACTGTGCTGTCTCTTGGTGTCATGTTGATCTGAGTGGCCTATGCTACCTGCCACCTGAGGCCATAGGGACATCTGGGCCCATGCTGCTGCTGGGAGCCATGTTTGGATCAGTGGTCCTGTGGCAGCCAGGGTTGTGTTGATGTCCTAGGCCCATGTTACCAGCAAAGGCCATGCAGATGCCTGAAGTGCCACCTGAGGCACCATACTGAGCTGACCCTTATTATTCAGTAGGCGTGGAACAAACCCCCAGAGCATGAGTGCTGGTGAAGACTAAACTTTGTGGTGGCTTGGACAATGGGGAGATGCCCCCTCCCCAGTTGTCCCTTGCCACTTGTGGCAGGCAGGTGAGCTACCCTCCGAGGTCATGAGATCAAGAAAGCAGAGTTGGTCCTGGTGGTACAGGAGAGCTGGATGTTGACCAACTCAGTTACCTACCAGGCCCAGATCCAGGGCTTTGAGTTGGCCCTCCCCAACATCTACTCTCTCTATGATCTGCTGGAGTGTGTGAAAGGGCTGGTCCTGCAGATCCAAAGCTCAGGATCTTCATTACCTAGGGCAACAACAGGATATCCCAGAGGTGCCCTGGTGAGGTTCCAGTATTAACAGAAGCCAGAGGCCTCGAACCAGACCAGTGACTTACTGCAACAACTTTTTCCAAGTAAAGATGTGTAGACAAAAAGGTATACTGTGTGATATACTGTGGCACACTACACGCTCCAGGACAAATATGTGTGTGTGTGTGTGTGTGTAGTCTGTTTTAATTTTTTCCGTGGGGAGGTTGTAAGGGCAGAGGGCAGGGACAGGAAGATGAATGAGATTGTTGTACATAATGTGAAATTCATAAAGTCTCAGTAAAATGTTAAAACAATAATAGAAATAAATCTTTAAGGACTGGTGGTTTGGGTGCACATTTTTTGGGTTTTTTGTTTTGTTTTGTTTTGTTTTGTTTTGTTTTGTTGTTTTTTTCGAGACAGGGTTTCTCTGTGTAGCCCTGGCTGTCCTGGAACTCACTCTGTAGACCAGGCTGGCCTCGAACTCAGAAATCTGCCTGCCTCTGCCTCCCAAGTGCTGGGATTAAAGGCATGTGCCACCACCGCCTGGCTTTGGGTTCACATCTTTAATCCCAGCACTCAGGAGGTAGAGGCAGGAGGATCTCAAAAATCAAACAAACAAACAAGCAAACAACAACAAAAACCCACAAGTAATTAAATAAAGAAATCTTTGAAAAAACAAAAGTCAGGTTAGAGGCTGGAAAGATAGCTAGTCAATTAAAAGCATTTGCTGCTCTTGCAGAGCGCCCAGGTTCAATTCCCCATCATTTTAACTTCTGTTTCACAGGATCCAGCCTTATAGCCTCCATGGGCACCAGAAACACATCTGGCAAAATGTACATTTAAAAAAAAAGAATTCAATTAAAAGAAAAGACAGGTTACTTAAACTTCCATAAGATATCAAGACAATACAGTATTTTTCTTCAGGATTGTTATATTCATTTAAATGCTGCTTTTAAAAAAATTTTTTTCAATCTGGGCATGCTAAACATTTTTAATCCATCCTTCTAGGTCAGAGACAGGTGGATCTCTATGAGTTCAAGGCCAGTCTAGTCTACAAAGCAAGTTCCAAAAGACCAAAATCAATTCAATAAATAAAGAGACCTGTTACTGCTTGGAGATAAATATTATTTAAAATATGTATACTTAAAATGTTTCAGCCAAAGAGTAGCATTTTTCTGTTTACAATCAGTCCTGTAGTTTCTCTTCTCTGGTAATCCTAAATGTCCCCTCCCCCCTTTTTTTTAGAGGAACTATAAAGCAGCAGTGATCTGGAGATGGGGTAGTGTGAGGCTTGTTCCTCTCCTCCGTTAGGTCATGAAGCCTCCAGTGGTATAAATGGCTGTCTCCTCCTCTGCTTTCTTGCAGCATTGGAGAACATGTTGCTCGTCTCTGCAGCTGTTTCAGAAGTGCAAGCTCAATAGATGCCTAGTCATGGTGGGTGGAGCTGGGAAACAGAACTTTCCAGATAATGGGTTTATAACTGAGAAAAACAAAAAATGGTATGAATTGTGACTTATGTAATTTATTTAAGGAGAGGTAGAGAATGAGCATGTCCTCTCAGGCACTTAGATTGTGACATAGATAAAGGCTTCGAAACTCGAGTACAGAGAAGTGAAACTATAAAAGGGAATCTATTGTTCGTGGTACAGACTTTTTTTATAAAATGGCAAATGACAATTGAAGAAGCAATCAAATTGGACTCTCAACATTGTTCCCACAAATACTATAAGAATATTAAAATGAAACGCTAATTTTCTTTTACATATAACTGGAGAATTAATTGCCTAACATACTTTTTTTGGTAATCTTTTTCTTCTGCTTTTATTTTAAAAATATTACTGCTACATATTTTTATTTGGCTTATTCATTGTACATGAAGTAAAAGACAACAACTTTTGTTTAAAATATTTCCTTTAAACCTTAAGAACTGAGGGATTTTTCTGGTGATATTAAATGACATTTCTGAGTTTTTACTGTGAATTGCCAAATTATATAAAAAGAGTAAAATTCTCCCACTGGATGTTTTAAAAGCAAGTTAAAATATAAGTATTATAATTCATGGACAGTATTACTTTAAAATCAACATGAAAATAACTGTCAAATTATACAGATACTTGTACCACTAGGAAATGGTGGCACACACCTTTAATCTCTGCACTCATGAGGCAAAGGCAAGCGGCTATCTGTGAGTTCAAGGACAGCCTGATCTCCAGAGTGAGTTCCAGGACAGCCAGGGCTACACATAGAAACAAACAAACAAAACTTACCATCTAGAGGAGATACCATGACCAAGACATTGCACTCCAGGTGTGTTGACCTTGTAATTCCCTAAAATGGGGGAAACTCAACTACATAATTTACAGTAATGGGGGAATATGTTGACACTCTCATCTGATTGAAAATTTATTTTTTTAAAAAATTATACAAATGATAGAAAATACTGAGGTCTAGAGAGATGGCTCTGCTGTTAAGAGCTGTGGCTACTTTTTATTCTTGCAGAGGACCCAGATTTGGTTCCTAGTATACATGATGGGTCATCTCTAACTGTGCCTCTGGCTTCTGCAGGCATACTGTATGCACATGATACAAATTCATATAAGATAAATATATTTTTAAAAAGAAGTATGTAATTTACAACAAAAACAAAAAACACACGAGGCAGGATGATTTCTAGGAGTTCCAGGCTGGAACCCAGGGTTATACAGTGAAACCCTGTCTCAAATAAACACATGACATTTAACTTGAATGGCAACTAAGAAAAGCAAGATTACATTTATAATGTAAAACATGTAGGGTGAAAAAAGCATGATGTTCCTAGATTTGGGATATTTCAGTTAGAGTTCATGGAGGCTATGAATTCAATCCTTAAGACTACTTTGAATTAAAACTATTGGTGTGGCCGTGGAGATGGCTCAGTGAGGAAAGGTTTGCTGAGCAGGCATGAGGACCCAAATCTAGATAATCGTCACCTAAATAAGAGCAAGGCACGGCACTGTGTGACTGTATGGTCAACACCAGGGAGATAGAGACGGGCATATCTCTCTAGTCATTGTTGTCGTCATGATAGATGGAGATGTTTATATAAATAAACGATAACGACAACAAACTGACCTCCACCATTTGTAAAAAAATAAAACTTCCATCCGGGCATGGTGGCCAGGGCTTACGAGGCCAAGACAGGCAACTAGAGCTACACAGAAACCCTGTCTCACAAAACAACAACAAAAATTCAAGGACAGAAGGATAAATACCACTAGTTGTCACTGGTATGTGGAAGCTAATATGTTGGTCTAAAATAAGCAAGAGAATGATTTCTTCTCTTGGACGTGGGAAGGGGAGGATGGAGAGATGGTGGCTAACAGGTACAAGGGTACTTAGGGGAAGAGGAATAGCTTCCAGAACTCTGGTATGGTAGTATGAATTTCAAAATGGCTAGTTTAGGCAGAGGTGTCTTCTTTGCCTTGAAAACTCAGGCTTTCTACCGTGCTATTATTTGGAGATTAAGTCTATTAAGTTATTATAGGAAAAAGAAAAAGACAGGTTGAACATGTGGTTTACCATATTCTGTCTTCTCCAAAGCATCCAGAGAGAACCCCAAAGATACAACAGTCCATTCTTAAATGTGGGAAGACTTTAAGGATGTGGTACTTTAGAAGACTTGAATGTTTTCCCACAAACAACCTGCTACTCAGTATGGATCAGTATGAGTCATGGGTGGTGTGATACATACCTTGACTCCTAGCACCCAGGAGGAGAGATAGAAGGATCATGAGTTCAAGGCCAGCCTACAGTACAAAGCAAGAATCTGTATACAATAAAAATCAATTAGTATCAGATTATAAGATATATAATGCGATAAACTATCATAAAAAGTTGTTTTTTGGGGCAGCAAGATGCGTCTTTGAGTAAAGATACTTGTCTCCAAGCTATTAATATTTCAAAATCTTTGTTTTATAGGACTTTGCATCACGGGCTAAGCTGGCAGTTCAAAAGCTAGTACAGAAAGTTGGATTTTTCGGAATTTTGGCCTGTGCTTCTGTAAGTAGGTTATATTTAAAGTTATAAATGTCATTAAATGCTATGAATATATTTTGATCAATTTGTTTGTTGTGTGTATTACTGTTTTGTGTTCTTTTATGTATGTATGTGTATCACATTCATGTCTGATGCCTGCAAAGGTTAGAGGTGGGTGCTGGAAACTAAACTGTTCTCTGAGCCATCCCTCTATTTTTTGGGGTTGTTTTGGTTTGGTTTGATTGGCTGGTTGGTTAGCTGGTTTTGGTTTTTCGATACACGATTTCTCTGTGCAACAAGTCCTGGCTGTTGTGGACTCGCTTTGTAGACTAGGGTAGCTTCAATCTTCAAGGCTTGATTCAGTGAAAACAAAGAAATAAAATCCATTATTCCTATGAAGAATTAATAATGAAATGAATTAGGAAGTCTTTTTCCAGCGTTTCAAGTACTAATAGGAAGATTTGTTTAAAATCTTACTTAAAACCTCTTAGCTCCTGTTATGTTTGGGTGGGTGCCTTGGTAGCATGAGGAATTCAGTTTGGATTCTCAGAATCCCCATAAAACGTCTGGGTAGTGGCTTGCACCTGTAATATCAGTAATAGCAGAATGGGAGATGAAGACAGATAGATCCCTGGTACACACACACACACACACACACACACACACACACACGTGTAAACCTAAATGTCCATGTGCCTGAATTACTGTTGTTGATCCTGGAAGTACTAGTCATTTTCCCAATATAGCTCCTTTTCTAATGCAGCCTCTATGACAGTAGTGACAACAGATATAAAGTGGCCCAAAGAGGCTCCCTTACAAGGCTGATAGAGTTTATGAGGATATATTGTGAAACCATGTGTGACACAGCCTCAGCCCAGCCCTGAGAGTGGGGCAATGGGATCAGAAGTCCAGGATCGTCCCTGGTAATACAGCAGATGAGGGTTTATGACCAGCCTCGGACACATGGGTGTTTTCCCTGTTTGCATGTCTGTAACTGGTGTCTGCAGGGACAAGAAGAGGCATTGAATCCACTAGGACTACAGTGACAGATGGTTGTTAGCCACCATGTGTGTGGGAATTGAACCCCTCTGAGCCATCTCTCTAGCCCTACAATCAAATGGTTTTAATTCTAATTGTACTTTTGGTTTGTTTAGTTATAACTTCAGGAAAAACAACCAGCAGTAGCAGGCATGTCTCCTAATGGCTTGACTATCCTTTTCTGAGAGTATCCAACCACAGTGAAACTCCTAGAAGGTTGACAAGTTAGAATTTGTGTCTGTTCTGATTTTCATTTTAAACCCTCCTTTTACTGTGGATTAAAACATGAAAATAAACAGTAGCTGGGCTGGAGAGACTGCTCTTCCAAAAGTTCTGAGTTCAGCTCCCAAACACCACATGGTGGCTCACAACCATCTGTAATGGGATCCGATGCCCTCTTGCTACAGTGTACTCATGTACATAAAATAAATAAATAAATAAATCTTTAAAATAAATAAGTAAACAGTAGTTAGTAGTGGTGGTGTTCTTCTTTAATCTCAGTGCAGGTTGTTCTCCTGAGCTCAAAGCCAGTCTGGTCCACAAGTGAGCTCTAGCACAGCCAGGACTACCCAGAAAAACCCTGTCTCAAAAAACAAAAGAAACAATTATATTTCTTTTTTTTCTTTTTTTTTAGTTTTTCAAGACAGGGTTTCTCATTATAGCCCGGGCTGTCCTGGAACTCACTCTGTAGACCAGGCTGGCCTTGAACTCAGAAATCCGCCTGTCTCTGCCTCCCAAGTGCTGGGATTAAGGGCGTGCGCCACCACCGCCCGGCGAAACAATTATATTTCATAGACTTGTGAGCATAAAAAAAAGGTAAGCTGTGGTGTCTGCACTTTGTACAGTTACAGGAAGAGTCTAAGTGTAGAGTCTGAGAGTCATGACAGAGAATGCTTGACTAGTCAGGACAATGTACTTAGAAGACTGTAAATGGCAAATATTTTTTTTAAACAACTGGGCTTTTCTTTTAGAGTTCAAAAATAAAAATTATATAAATTAATTGGCTTACAGATGGCTCAGCCAACAGTCACAAGGGCAGAGTATTTCTGTGGGAGAAAAATAAATGAAGTGCTCAAAAACAGTTGTGGTTTCTTCACATTTTTACATGAAATTGTTTTAATGTGGGAATGTTGGGAAAGGTATTTATTGTGAATCACTTCTTTGTCTAGGACAGAGTATTCAAAACATCTGAGTCGGTGTGCTTACATATCTCCACCCTTGATCTTTTTTAAATATGCCACATGCTCCTAGCGCCTTAGGCTTTCTTAATATCAAATACAAATAATGAATTATTTTTGAACAAGACCTCAATCTACTCACTTTATGGCCAAGAGTAACCTTGAACCCTAGCCTGCCCTTACCTCCCACATGCTACAGCTGCAGGCATGTAGTACGTTTAAGTGTTGAAAGCATCCACCAGTAAGTGCAGTTAGGAATTTCATGTGTTTTCTAAAGATAGGGACACTTCCAGATAATTGTGTTTGGGGTAAGAATTTACTTAGAACTCTAATAATCTTAACAATTCATTCATACCTTACCAAAGAAACAGCCACCAAATGAGCAGAAATCTACTCAAAGGGATTACATTTCTGTAGATCCAAGGTTGTATCCATTCCTCCTGTGTTAAAAACTATTTGTATGAGGTGCATCTTAGTTTGCTGTGGTCTTGTAGAATGGCAGTCCACCGAGAATGAGATCCAGCTTAGGGACTGCTATTAGAACTCCTCTCTAGTCTTCTGAACAGTGTCAGATATTGACCAGGGACCTTTATCTCTTATCATATACAAATTGATGATTAAAGCAGGACACCACACACCAATGAGTTTTTAAAACATTTTCTTTAAATTATTCATAGAAGTCTTTTTTTTTCTTCTCTTGGTAGATTCCAAATCCCCTGTTTGACCTGGCTGGAATAACATGCGGACACTTCCTTGTACCTTTTTGGACCTTCTTTGGTGCAACCCTGATTGGAAAAGCAATCATTAAAATGCATATCCAGGTAATACAGCTGAGTCACTGCCTAATGACCTTGATAGAACCTTGATAGACCATGGCTCTTGCTTGGTTCCTCCTCCCATTAGTTAGGTAATAAGATATGCAAATTTAGAAGTACATAAATTCTGATTTTTTTTTCTTCTTTCCTCTTCCTTCTTGCTTTCTTTATTAAAAAAAAAAAATAAGTAGTGTGCTTGTGTAAGAAAACGCCTATCATTTTCACGTACACAATCAAGGCTGTGCTTTTCTTACTGACCGCCACCTGAAAGAGGATCACCTTCCGTTGATTCTTGCTTTCATTCACATACTACATAGCACTTCTGTAATTGTCGCCAGTATCCTTTACGGAAAGCCAGGCAGATGTCTGTGGGCAAGAGAAGGGTAGTTGAAGCTGTGAGGAAGTATGGTTGTGTGGTTAGAGACGTGAGACTCTGCCAGCCCCCAGAGCCACTCTCGACATCTTTAAGATCTGCACACACAGATAAAGAGACTAAGAACCTCAGTGAGGGAGAGCAGCCATGCCTTGGACTGTGAATTGTTCCATCTAAGGGCAACTCTTAGTAATAAAAATCTAAATCAGTGTTTTTCACAGCAAATAAGAATTTACTAAAAAAGAAAGTTAAGAGAAATGAACTAATGTCTCTAAAAATAAAAGTCTATCCCCAGTGATGGTGAGGGACTGGAGAAATGGCTCAGCAGTAAAGAACACTGGCTGCTCTTTCAGAGGACCAGTTCACAACACCCACATGGCTGCTAACAACCATGCGTAGCTCTAATCCTGGGGGATCTGACATCCTCTTCTGGCCTCTGCAGGTGCTGAATACACATAGTTCATGTAAACACATGTAGACAAAGCACCCATGCACAAATAAATCCCTTAAAGGAGGGAGAGATGTCTGGCATGTTGGTGCATACTTTTAATCCTAGCACTCAGGAGGCAGAAGCAAGTAGATCTCTGAGTTCAAAGCCAGCCTGGTCTGCAGAGTGAATTCCAGGACAGCCAGGGCTACACAGAGAAAACCTAACTCAAAAAACAAAAACCAATGCTAACATAGCTTTTTTAGTCAGTACCTAAGGACTCAGTCATTTTAATTCCTAATGTAATCTGTACATATATTTGTCTCATGTGTTTGAATGTTTCACCTGCATGAAATGTGCTCTGCATGTATGCCTGGTGCCACGGAGCCTGGAGAAGCTGTTCCTTTGGTGCCAAACCCCATTCCTCTTCAAGAACAACAAGTGCTGTTAACTACTAAGCCATCTCTCCAGCCCCATAATCTGTAAATCTGTATGTCTGATTTTATACTTCTTGAATATAGTAACTTTCTTTATATTATTATAATTTTTTATTGCCTATTTCTTTTTTTATTTATTTTGTACAATACATTTTCATTTTATTCACTCCTCTTCTTACCACCTTCCATATCTGTTTTAATTTTGAATTCATCTAATCCAATTTGTGCTACACATGTACTTATAGATATATGGCCTCCCCCTGAAGCCTGGTATTACTACCAGGGGCCACACCCATAAGGAAAATTATTGTAAAATTTAAATGCTAAGCACCTTATCTGTAGCTATTTATGTGTGGCTTGTCAGACCTTTTCATTTCAGAAAAGTGGTCAAAATTGATAATACTTTTGGGCATCATAAATAGATTTTCTTCTAGGATATACCAATTCTGGTTTGTTTTGTTTCTCTGTGTAGCCTTGACTGTCCTAGAACTCACTCTGCAGACCAGGCTGGCCTCAAACTGAGGGATCTATCTGCCTGCCTCTGCCTATTAAGTGCTAGGATTAAAAGCATTCGCCACCACTGCCTGGCTCAGTTCATATTGTACCTCATATTTTAAACCCTGTAGAATTCTGGTATAAAGGAAGTATTCTAAGTACAGTAGTCATACTTAGTGGCTAATAAGCAGTACATGTCTATAAGAATGCTGACAGGTAGAATTAAGGAAACTAAGAAAAGTAAATGTTTTACTGCCTGCTGATTATCAGGCCCAGTGACGTATGAGGTAATTGTGCAGAGGGAAAAAAGCCTTAGGACCTGGAATCCAGAACAAGCTCTGGAGGTTAAAGTGGTTCCTGTACCTACTATGTAGAGAAGAAAAGAAAGAAAATCATTTGTCTTTCTGAGGCGTGGATCTGGATTCTTTTCCTGACTGAGGGATATGTTTACTGTGTTCCATTGTACATAGTAACTTGCCTTATTAAGGCATGTCACTTGATGTGCATCCAGATGTAGCTTAGAACAAGCCTTTCTCGTTCCCTGAGTAGGCAGTATTAATGAGTAATATAAACATCTTGGTCAGTTCGAGAGTCCAGAGAAACACCCACACACAAATTCTTCTGTGCTCTGCTAAAGCCCATCTCCTCATTTGCTTTTCTTTCATCCTTTTTTTCCTCAGCTTAACTTTAGACAGCTTTCTAATAAGTTGTTTTTATTAATGTCTTGCTGTCTGTTAATCTTCCTTGAAAAAAACTCCTACCAGTACATCTACTATGTTGGATCAAAACTTTGTTGTTCGCTAAGTAGATTCAGCTTCTGCCTCGATTGTCTATTTGTGTGCACCTTACTCAGTTACCATGACTATTGGTTTTTGCCTGTCTGCATCCCCATGAACGCACACACATGCATAATTGGATTGTGAGCCTTAAGGGTCAGAAATCTTAGTTCCTTGGTTTTGGCCGTTGGGGACACTTTAGTACGTGGTCTCTTCTGTGTTGACTTGGGCACCGTTCATTAGTTCCTCTGCTCAGATCCTTTACTTTACATAACCCTTTCGTGTGTGTGTGTGTGTGTGTGTGTGTGTGTGTGTGTGTGTGTTGTTTGGTTTCGTGGGTTTTATTGTTGGGCTTTTTGTTTGAGGTTTTATTTGTGTATGTTTGGCTTTTTGTTTTGTTGTTGTTGTTGTTTTCTTTTTACTTTTTGGTTTTTTGAGACATCCTCTCTATATATCCTTGGCTGTGCCAGAGCTCTCTCTGTAGTCCAGGCTGGCCTCGAACTCACAAGAGTTCCAGCTGCCTCTCCCTCCTGAGTGCTGAAATTAATGGTATGTGCCACCACTGACTCCCTTGTTGCTTATATGCACATGAGTGAGAAAAACATTCACTGGTTTGTGCCTTATGCTTATCTGGTAGAATCCCCAGCTTACAGCTTTCAAAACTGAGACATGGGTTCTTAAATGGCTGATACATTTTATGTCCTACCCATCCTGGTGAATTTTTAAGCTGTTACATATAAAAAGGAAATTTTGTTTTGTTTCTCAAGCAATGAAGTTGTGCAATTATTGGGCACAGGCTGATTTTGCATTGTTAGGCAATGATGGTAGGGAAAGCTTATGGTGTCGAAATCACTGAAAGTCACAACCATTATTTCTGTTGATCGTTGAAAGATTTATGGCTCCAAGAATAACTGGTTCTCGGTGTAGCCCTCTCTACTATTGTTTTCCCCTCTACGTTTACTTTAACAGCTGTCTCATTTGGTTGTTCCGTCCTTCCACCAGTCCTAGAACCCACGTGTGTTTTAGAGCCATCTTGCCTGCTCAGTGCCTCATGGTTCTAGAGCGTAGGGAAAAAGAAGGCCAACTCACTACCTCATGGTTGTAGAGAATAGGTAAGAAGAAGGCTGCTGTCCTTTGTTTTATTCCCACCTCCCCTTTGGTTACATTGGCTAATGTGATTATTGAACAAACAACAGAGTGCTAAAGAGCTCGTTGTCAGGAACTTGGAGAAACTCCAGGAATTCGGCTTTATTCACAGAGTTATTATGCATCCTTATAAGCTAAAGTTAAATAGAAACCATTGGATCCCTAGTTAGTCCTACAGCTCAGCATGACCTTCCCTTCCCTGCACGTCCATGTCAATGGTGCCTCCTTCCTCCTTCTCTTCTAACTACTAGTGGCATTTGTGTGCGTATGTGAGTGTGTGCATGTGTGTCTGTGTGTGAGAGGGAGCGTTTCTGTACCAGTTTTCTACCATTTGTAGAAATATCAAGATTTAAGAAGTGTTCTCAGGGGGGCTGGAGAGATGGCTCAGCGGTTAAGAGCACTGACTGCTCTTCCAGAGGTCCTGAGTTCAAATCCCAGCAACCACATGGTGGCTCACAACCACCCATAATGAGATTGGATGCCCTCTTCTGGTGTGTCTGAAGACAGCTACAGTGTACTCATATACTTAAAATAAATAAATAAATCTTTAAAAAAAAAAGAAGTGTTCTCAGCTTTTTGTTTCCTAAAAGCCCTTACTATTGCTTGATGCTATCCATAGTAAGTAGTTTGTGCTCACGTGTGTTGAATGAAGCTGAGAATATTTACTATTATCCCTAAAGGTATCTGGGTTTTTTTGTTTGTTTGTTTGTTTGTTTGTGTTTGTTTTTGTCAAGACAGGGTCTCTGTGTATCCCTGGCCGTCTTGGAACTCCCTCTGTAGACCAGGCTAGCCTCAAACTCAGAAATCCGCCTGCCTCTGCCTCCCAAGTGCTGGGATTAAAGGCATGTGCCACCACACCCAGCCCTGTTTTTTCTGTTTTAGTGTCAGGTATCTATATCTTTAATCAACAGAGGCTGAACTTCATCTCACCAAACTAAAAACATGAAAAGTCCGTTTACCCCTAAGCCTGGGAGATCAGGCTTGTTCAGGTTCTGGGAACTTTGATAGTGTTACTGTAAAACCTTCCTAAAAAGACAGGCTGTCTTCCTAAAATCTCTGAAGTATATTTAGGCCAGGCTCCTGTTAGAGTAATTAGCTTTGAGTCCATAGTGGACTCATACGGGAGCCCATGGCTTCTGTTTTGTATAGAACTCTTAAGATAGAGTGACTTTTCCACTGTTCCCTCCCAGGCTCGGGTTTCATGACTCACAGGCGCTCTGAGACAGTCCTGTATCCTAGTAAAAGACTACGGCTGTGCTTAAGGAAAAGCATCTTTAAAATACCAACTACCATTTAAATTAAATGGTCTCTTATTTAAAAAAAAATTAAAATTACAGTTAAGGGCAACATACCACCTTCTTTTAAACAATTATACTTTGGAAATTACAGGTAGTTCTTTTAAATTATTGATTATTTTAACTCATGTTTTCTTTCAGAAAATCTTTGTTATAGTAACTTTCAGCAAGCACATCGTGGAACAGATGGTGGCTTTCATTGGGTGAGTAATTCCTAAAAGACTAATATTAATACTGTGCTTTGAATGGAGTAAATGTGTATGGAAGAGTACATTGGGATAAAAAAAAAATCTAAAACAGCTGGTTTTTTGAGGGAAAAAAATGTTTGCCTTATTGTTATTAAAAAGACATTTTTACCCAACTGAAGAGAATAATCAAGCTCACTTTTTCCATTTCTTTGTAAACTAAATGTATCAGTTCACATAATTCTTGATTTTAAAGAGCTTTGGGGTTTGAATATGTGACCATTCATTGTAGAAAAGGCATATATATGTGTCATTACAGTTTAACATAGCTTTGGACCAACTACACAGTTGCATGTAAGTGAGTTAAATATAAACTTGACATAATTTTTAGTATTTTATTAAAGGTTGTGCAATGGTATATTTTAATATTCTCAAAATTTGTCAAATAGGAAGCTGTAACTTCACTAGAGAAAAATTAGGCCAATTAAAAAGCTAAACTATTTGATGTGTTAATTTATTTTTGCAGTTTTCGGAAGTAAAACCATTTGAACATATAGTTCAAATCATAATGTCACAAAATTGCCAGCTTCAGGTCAACAAAACAGTTAAAAAAAACACCCATTTTGATTAACTTTCAAATGGAATATGAACAGAGTCAGATGGTAGAAATAAAATCAAGGATTGTTGGTTTTTTAGCTTGCTTATTTCATCTTTCATGTGGTTTGGTTTTTTTGTTTGTTTTTGGTTTTCTGTTTTTTACAAGAGAGAACTTTCTTTCATTTAGTAATAGTGGTGCTGTGACGGGAACGGGTTAAGTTGAAGTGCATGTTTCTTACTTTTAACGTAAATTTTCATCTTAAAAGTCTCTGACACAACCAAATTATTTATGAAAAATTGTTACTGTTTAAAATGAATTGCTACTTGGTGGTTAGTTTGTGTTGGTTTATTACTCTTCAAACTGCACTATATAGCATAGATATACTTGTATATGTTTAATAATAAAATAGTTTTTATATAGTTTATATCTCTAATGAAATAATTAAGAAAAAATACATTCTTGAGAATATGCTAAGTAGAACCAAGCACTGGGTTATTAATTCCTAAACTTTTGATTATTTATATGAAATAATGTACACATTAAAGACTCATGCCTTTACCCAGTATTCAAGAGACAGTGGCTGGGGGGATCTCTATAAATTCAAAGCTAGCCTGTCTACAAATTAAGTTCCAGGGCAGCCAGGGCTACACTTGGAAAGGGAGGGAGGAAGGGAGGGAGGGAGGGAGGGAGGGAGGGAGGGAGGGAGGAAAGGAAAGAAGAAAGGAAGGATGGATAGGTAACTAGTCTGATTTTTATGCTGTCTGAGTCTGTATGAACAAAATGCTTTGTATGTCATCATACCTCACTTTCACAGCAAAAGAAGGGGAGGTAGACCTGCTGCAGAGGCCTGCCATCCCAACACTAGGGGAGGCTAAGGCAAGGTCCAAAGTTTGAGACCATCCTGAGCTATGTGTTGCCTGGGGATGTGGGCACTGGATATTTTTGTCTACTATTTTTGATGGAAATTTTCTCCTATTTATGAGGAAAATATTCATAAAGCCTTAGAGACTACTCCACCTCCCTGGAGAAAATTCTGAAAGGACAGACATGGTATTACCTGTCATACGCGCCCACTGGAGAGTGACAGTGTGTCCTGCGGCACCCACTTTCTTCAGTCTCTTTCCTCAGACTAAACATTTGTAGCAGGAATTGTTGCAGCTACTTCACACTCTCCCCTCCACCATCTGTTTCTCCAGCCTCTGGAGTTTCTAGAAGCTTGTATTACAGAGCTGCCTGTCTCACATGCCGACTGTTCCTGTCCTTTCAGGTCTGTCACACCACACTGCCATCAGAAAACTTTTTGCTCTGGCATGTTACCAACAATACCCTCAGCCCTCTGCTCATTTTTCCCCCTTAAAATAAAACCAAAAGTCCTTAAGGTGTAAGAGCTCCGAGTTTCCTTCTCCTGCTCAATGTCACGGATGCTTGGATCCCAGCATTCATATCTGAGCCTGCTGTTTCCTTTGCTTGCCTCAGGATGTCTTGACCTTTACAATCATGATGTTTTGGGCCAAATAATCCTTTGTTATGATGGACTGTTCCATGCATTGTTGAGACACCTAGCCCTCGCCGGGCGGTGGTGGCGCACGCCTTTAGTCCCAGCACTTGGGAGGCAGAGGCAGGCGGATTTCTGAGTTCTAGGCTAGCCTGGTCTACAGAGTGAGTTCCAGGACAGCGAAGGCTACACAGAGAAACCCTGTCTCGAAAACCAAAAAAAAAAGAAAGAAAAAAAAGACACCTAGCCCTCTATAGATTATATGCCCTTAGCAACTCCCAGTCTGTTAATCAAGTTATCTTTGGCGCTAAGGCAGTTGCTTAGCAGAATACTTTGGCAGCATGCTTGAGTCCCTGAGTTCAACCCCTAGCAGTGCAAATAACAATCATCATCTCCTAGCCATGAGTAGCTTAGTTGTAGAATATAGGCCTCTCATGAAGAATGTCCTAGGTATATTCCCCAGCACCACAAAAAGTGTGTGTATTCCACACTGGTGCCAAATGTATGGAGGGTAAATCCATCATCCACAGTCCGAATGTCCATTAGATTTCAGTTTTTATCCTCAGAAAACTTCCTGTGATTTGATCAAATATTCCTGAGCCAGGGATCTCTTTGCATAGCAACATACATGACACACTTATAGTTTTATTTTTATGTTTATGAATGTATGATTACTTTTGTGGCTCCCCCTTTGCCACCCCCCCCCTTTTTTTCTGGGAGTCTTATGTAGCCCAGGCTGACTTCAAACATTCTTATGTAATTGAGTCTGGTCTTAAACTTGCGTCCACCTCCTGAGTTGGAATTAAAGATGTGCCCCACCAGCCTCAGTTTATGTGGCTTTGGGGATCAAATCCAAGACTTTATGCGTGCTGGACCAATTCAGCTACCTCCCTAGCCCTGATGACCATCTTGTTTCTGCCAACCCACAGAGATCTACCTGCTTCTGCTGACCCATGCCCAGCATCTTTGAGATTCTTAATTTCAGAGACCATGTGTATTGTTTACTGTTCTGAGTACCTGACAGCCTGACTCAGGAAATGACCACGTGCTGTTCAAATAAAACTCCACCCTATAAAATCAGCAGGTCTTTTGTATAGCCTGTGTTCTTCTGTTTGTTTCCTTAGATTTTGTAGTTTCTAGGAAATTCTGCCATTTCTCTACAGTATATAGAAGTTGAAGTGCCTTTAATATTTGAAGTGTATTTAATATTACAACTTAGTTAAATTGTAGTACATTCTGTCCCCTATTCCTTTCTTTTAAATTGTGTTAGCGTGGTCCTTGAAAGAATCCCAGTTAGGGACTGGAGACATGGCTCTGACTTAAACACCCACATTGATGACTCATAACCACCTGCAACTCCAGCTCCAAGGGACTCACTCCAGTGCTGCGACCTCCGAGAGCACCTTTCTAGTGCACATGCCTACATGCTGACACATGTGCATATACATTATTAATTATTATATATAAGCCCACTGGTAGTGGCATACGCCTTTAATCCTAGCACTCGGAAGTAGTCAGGCAGATAGATCTCTGTGAGTTCAAGGATAGCCTGGTCTACAGAGTGAGTTCTAGGACAGCCAGGGCTACATAGAGAAACTTTGTCTAATTATGTGTGTGTGTTATAGCTGAGTAATTAAATAAACAAACAAATCTTTAAATATCTTTAGATAATGTAAGTTAATTAGATTTGGCTTCATCATCAGATACCAAACGAGTTTTTAGTATATTGTCAGCAATTAAATTATAATCACAGTCTCTAACCAAACATGACAAGATTTATTTTCCTACACTTTGAAACAGGACATTGTTGCTTTGTTTTGTCTTTTGAGACATCATCTCTATACATACCCCTGGCTGTCTTCAAGCTCACAGAGATCAGCCTACCTCTGCATCTGCTAATATTAAAAGCATGCACCTCCATGCCTGGCTCAAACAGGACATGTCCTCTGGGTTTTGTTTTTGTTTTTTATTTTTATTTTTTTGAGTTTCTTTGTGTAGCCTTGGCTATCCTGAACCAGCTCTGTAGACCAGGCTGACCTCAAACTCACAGAAATCCACCTGCCTTTGCCTCCCAAGTGCTAGGATTAAAGAGGCCTGCCTAGATGTTTTTAAATACAAGTTTCAAAATGAAAATTACCAATATGGCTGGAGGTGTAGCTCTGTGGTAGAGTGTTTACAAGGGATACTTAGCACTGTAACAAAAAATAAATAAATATAACACTAAATCCTGAAGGCATGGGTCCATGTAGCTCAGGTCTGTCTGGTTCTCAATATATAACTCAGAATGATCTTTTTTTTTTTTTCTTTTTTTCTTTTGTCTTTTTTTGTGGGGGAGGGTTGTTTGCTTGTTTTTTTTGGTTTTTCGAGACAGGGTTTCTCTGTATAGCTCGGGCTGTCCTAGAACTCACTCTGTAGACCAGGCTGGCCTCGAACTCAGAAATCTGCCTGCCTCTGCCTCCCAAGTGCTGGGATTAAAGGCATGCGCCACCACTGCCCGGCTCTCAGAATGATCTTAAACTCTTTCCTTTCTTTTTTCCACCCCTTTTCTTTTGTAACTTTCTCTCAACTATGCATTGTGGCTGCCTAGAACTCACAATATAAATCCAGGTTGATCTTGATATTTTTACTTATGTGTATGTGTGTATATGTTTGTGAGTAAATACTGCATGTGTTTGAGTACCAGTGGAGGCTTAAAGAAGGTGTCAGAGTCCTGGGAGCTGGAGTTACAGTGATCATTTGCTTGTGTGCTGGAAACTCAGCTCAGATCCTCTGGAAGAACAGCCAATACTTTCAACCACTGAGCTGCCTCTCTACCCCCAATGGACTGCTGTTCTTAATATAAGTATGGAGTAGCCTAGCTAAACATGGTATCCTCATTCAAATAATACCCATTTCCCAATCATAATTAACACTTTTATTTCTAGG